GGGAGGAGAGGGAGGAGAGGGAGGAGAGGGAGGAGAGGGAGGAGAGGGAGGAGAGGGAGGAGAGGGAGGAGAGGGAGGAGAGGGAGGCGAGGGAGGAGAGGGAGGAGAGGGAGGAGAGGGAGGAGAGGGAGGAGAGGGAGGAGAGGGAGGAGAGGGAGGAGAGGGAGGAGAGGGAGGAGAGGGAGGAGAGGGAGGAGGAGGAGGAGGAGGAGGAGGAGGAGGATCGGATCGGACCGGCTGTCCGCGAGAGAAGGGTCAACGCTTGCTGCTGGGCGAGCGTTCAGCCCCAGTGGGCCGAACGGTCGAGGGTGGCCCCACGAGGGGCCAGGAAAGCTCAGGGATCACAATCCCGAAAACATTCCCACGATAGAAGCTCGAGCAAAGTAAAACGGTAATTGCGAGTTAGTGATTGATAAGACCTCCTCCTATTGCCTCCACCCACCTCCTGGAACACGCTCTCGACGGCGTGGCCGAAGCCCGCTGAGCGCCTGTACGCGGGGGCAGCGCGGGCGGGAAGGGGGGGGAAGCCAGGCCACATGAGAAGAAATGAAGGGGGTGAAAGCGAAACAAGGAAATTGAAAATAAACATAAACCTAACATACTTTCACACCCGCCACTAGCGGCCCCAGACACCGCGACAGGATATAGACGCCTAGAAAAATTGCTGCTATCCCGCCACCCCCCACACCCTCAGGAATCATGAATGGCCAACTTGAAACATATGTGATGTGCGCATCGGATTGAAGAAGATGGGACTAAGGGGGCTCAGGGATCGGGGCAAACAACCTTACTATCGAACCTGGCACTCTCCTCGCAGCAATTCTGCGCTGGTCCAAGGCTGCAACATGATTGGATGCAATCCTTTGAAGCACGTCTCGGAAAGCAGGGGAGGAGGAGGAGAAGGAGGAGGAGGAGGAGGCGGAGCAACAAGATAATCAATCAGTAAGTGATCAGCTTCATCCTGAGCTGCTGGCGCAGCTTCCATAGCAACCGAATGGGAGCCCTCCAGTTCTTCTTCTGGAGTCGGAAAGGTTTCCTCTTGCTGAAAATTGTGCAGAATCTTGTCAATGCGAGCTGATGCTGGGGATTAGATTCGATATTAGAACCCAAATTATAGTCAGGGCCACATTCCGGAGCGTTTGAATCAATATTCGCTGCATCAGGGAGCAATTGTTTCAACGAATCGTACTCGGCCATCTGTTCTGGTGTCGGGATGCGGAGCGGAGCGGACTGACCCAAAAGGGAAGGCAGCAAGGATTGTAAGATAGGTTGTGCCATGGTCTTACATAGGTGCAGTGGGTAGATTGTCTTGGGCGCAGAGCGAAAGCTTTGTGAAACAGGGCCCCATCCCACCATAGGAGGGTGAGCTCCTTTTCCATGGATGCAGAAACCGCCCCCAGGAGAAGCCCGAGCCTTGTCATGAAACGAAGACGTATGATTGGTCAGCATAGCCGTAGAGGGTCGACCTGACTGGGCGAACATGCGTTTATCAAATACCGTGAACCTGCTAGCATGCATAGCAAGTATCGTCTTAGCTGGCACAGCATGCCTAGAGGAGCACGACGAGGTTCCCGCGACGGTGGTGCTGGGTACTCGAACCATCCTATAGCAGGACATGTCGTAGCAACCGACAGCAATTCAGTAGCCGCTTGAAATGAATCGTTAGCCACCTGAATTTGAAGCCTTTGCGTAGGAGTCAGAGCCCTCAGCCCCTCAAATGGCCTGCCATGTCCTCAAAGGCGTTTGGGGGGGCTCTCACCACCGAGCTGTGCAGAAAGCTTCGCAAGGGGGGGGGCCTATGGCCCGAACTGTGCCTGCTTCAGCGTGGGAGGCCCATAGGTCCAGAGAGCCGGGCCTCGTCGGATCGCCTCTCTCGCGATCCAGAGCACTGTCAAGCGATCGCGCTACCGATCCAAACGAGGGTTGTTCTGATGCAAGTCAATACCAAATCGTGTGGAGTGTCGTGCGGCCGCCGCTGGCCGCAACAGAAAAGAGGGCGACAGCAGCTTGTTTCTTACTTCTGTGACGAGGGGCCGAGCTCGCTGAAGCACCCCTGTACACGCGCCCGTGCCGGACGGCCACTGAAAACGTCCGAGGGGAGCGGGTTGGTATCCTGATCGTCCTGGGGTTTGGGACTGACGAGAGCATGAGGCTGGAGACTGGAGACCAGCTGCGGCGCAGGTGCACTCTCTCGGCACTACTGCTGCAGGCCCGCGAGGGAGGTGGAGCATCCCAGAAGCGGCGAAAGCGGCGGCCCCCACAGGCCGCCGCGGCCCACAAAGGCCCCAGGGCACCAGCCCAGGGTGTTACCCCCCCCACGCCCTCCTCAGTGCTGAGTGTACCGCATGGCCTGGCCGAACTACTCGATCAGCCAGCGATGGCGCACGAGGCGATCCCAAGGCCCTCGAACTCGGGCTGGTCCATCAACCAGCACATGAAGGCAGCGCGAGCTCCACCTTCATCCTCCAATCGGCAGCACTCGCCGAGAGTGTGCTTCACCATGTTCTTCACGTCGCTGTCGAAGCCGAGAGCCACAGGCTTCACCTCAAAGATGCTGCCCTCTCCCTCGTACTTCTCCTTGCCGGTGCCGTCCTCGATGTCGAGGGCCACAGGCTTCTCCTCGAAGATGCTGTCCTCACCGTCGAACTTCTCCTTGTCGGTGCCGTCCACGCCGAGCGTAGGGCCCTCGGCCACGTCCGCGGTGTCCACGCAGTAGTCCTCCTTAGGCTACCACTGATGATGCCGACCACCTCGCCGACGCCCAGCCGCCACAGCGAGCGGCGTGCTCCGCGAGCCCGCTCCGTCTTCTCGAAGGCCTCCCTGTTCGGCATGAGGACGGCGCCGAAGGCGTTGACTGGGTCCTCATCCCGATGCCAGCAAGCCCAGCCGTCCGCTGGGTCCACGCCGTCCATGCTGAGGTCCACGCCGTCGTCGCTGCAGATGCCGAAGAGGTCGCTGTGCACGTGCACCTCCGCGATCTCCGGACACATTTGCTGGACGTTGTCGACAAGGATGTCCGCCTTGTCGTTCAATCCACCTCCCTCGGAAGACAGGAGCGAGATCGGCTCCTCCGCCTGCCCTCTTGCTCGTCCTTCCTGGGCTTCTTCTCCTTCTTCCTGGACTTGTCCTTCTTGTCCCGCTTCAGGTTCTGCGGCAGTTGGACGTCAACTCAACCAGCATGGCCCCGTGCCACTCAACCAGCATGTCATGCTTCGAGATCGCCTCCGCCACCGTCCTTGCCGAGAGCCTTGCCTCGACGAGAGCATGATGATGCTGCTGATGCTGATGATGATGTTGTTGTTGATGATGATGATGAGGAGGAGGAGGAGGACGAGGATGAGGAGAAGGAGGAGGAAGGAGGAGGAGAAGAAGGAGGAGGTGGAGGAGGAGGAGGATGGACGAGAGCATCTACCTGCTCCAGCCTGTGGTCTGCTCCACGGTGTCTGACAGATGTAAACCGTAGAGGTTCAGCCTTGGTACAACGGTTTTAGTGCAGCCCAGGCCTCGAGGGACAGTGCCCCAGGGGAGGGTCCAGGAGGGGAGGGCAGAGGCAGACGGGGAGAGGCCCCGGGAGACCAACCTCATATGCTGGGCTGTCTCTAGTGCCGCCAGCTCTGCCATAACCTCTTGAGGTGTAAGATGTGTGTGCGTGATATAGAATACGGTCGGACCGAGGTATGAGATCGAGGTCGGGTCGGGTCGAAGCCGGAGCGAAGCCGCTCCTCTGGCATGTTAGGTGGCAAGCAGACGGCCCTGTACACCAAGATCGCACACGGAAATGGTTCGTGCCTGAGATCTATACTCTGCAACGTCGACGGCTCTCCCAGACAGTGGGCCTCTCGTAGAAGGCGAGGGCGGCCGCGGCAGCGTTGGGCCACATCGGTCTGTGAGCTTTTCTCGTGACTATAGGCAGGATCCCCTCTTCCTCCTCTTCCTCCTCTTCCTCCTCCTCCTCCTCGTCGTCTTACAGTCGGGCGCTTCTGTTTTCTGCTTCACAGTCGTGGGGCGCTTTGCTTTCCGTGGCTCTTTCAATGATTACCGAAGGGCTGCCAATTGCGCGCTCTTCTGTCCACGCGTCCTTCCAGATGCTTGGCTCTGGGGTGGTGGTGGATGTTCTTGTGGATCCTGGGGGGGGGGGGGAACCCTTGAGTGTTCTTCAGTTGGGCCAGTGGAGGATATCATGTTCGTCATGTCTGGCTGCACGATGCATGCAGGATGTCATTCAGTAGTGTGCCCAAAAGTAGACTGCGTGAGGGACTGCAGATAAGGAAATACACAGGAGGGCGCGTCGAATCTGGACCTCCGTTAATTAGTAATTGCAGCATGGACCCTTCTGATATGCGCATTCAGAGACTAGGCGTGCTAAACATGTTGTCAACGGACATGTTGTCCAGAGACCCGGCATGAGGTGAAGAGGAGGGGGAGGAGGAGGAGGAGGAGGAGGAGGAGGAGGAGGAGGAGGAGGAGGAGGAGGAGGAGGAGGAGGTAGAGGAGGAGGAGGAGGAGCGGAGGCGGAGGCGGAGGCGGAGGAGGAGGAGCAGAAAGAGGAGGAAGAGGAGGAAGAGGAGGAGGGGGATGGGGGAGGGGGAGGGGGAGGAGGAGGAAGAGGAGGAGGAGGAGGAGAAGGAGGAGGACGAGGACGAGGAGGAGGAGGAGGAAGAAGAAGAGGAGGAGGAGGAGGAGGACGAGGAGGGAGGAGGGAGGAGGAAGGAGGGAGGAGGGAGGAGGGAGGACGGGTGACGGAGGACGGAGGACGGAGGAGGGAGGAGGAAGGAGGAAGAGGGAGGAGGAGGAGGAGGAGGAGGAGGAGGAGGAGGAGGAGGAGGAGGAGGAGGGGAGGAGGAGGAGATCCGTCGCCATGTTGGCTCAAGTCCGCAATGTTTCGGCTCGAGGACTGCGTCTTGCTGGCGAGGGGAGTCGCGGCCCCACCACTTTCCATTCTGCATTGGGGTGGTCCCAAGGTTTTCAACTTTGCGGTACGGCGCCACTTCATTATTCGATAGTTCTTCGGGGTGATCAGTCTGTCGGCAGTGGCGAACCAACAAGATGGGTCTCCCTCGAGCAGACAGCAGGGACCGCGAGAGGGAGGACTGGTACTGCAAGGATTGCGTGTACAGAGGGGACCGAAGAAGGAGACTCGCTACCTGAACTTTGGTTATCGTTTGCATTGCGTTCGGTACCGCCTACACAAGGGTCGTGTTCGGAGGCATTCGTGCAGCTACCTCGCCCTCACTCCGACCTGAACACGATGGATTACCTTGGGGAAATCGACGGGAACAGACCAAGAAGATGGCAGAAATGAGAAATAACTAGAGCGTCTTCAACGTGAGCTCGCTGCAAAGAAGTCTGGTGGACCCGACGCCGAGACCATGGATGAAGATGGTGCTGGAACGTTGGCGCCAGCGTCTGAGCTACAGCGCCAGATCGACGATGTTGAGGGTGAAGTCAAGAAGTGTCCGCAGGCGCTGGTTGCGCAAGTACATGGGGTTGGCACCGGTTCGGGAAGGGTTGCTCAAGCTGCAGGGAGAACTGTTCGCCAAGCGTCGTGCAAGCAAACCTGTGGGCACGCAGATATCCGACGTGTCCCGCACGTGCGCCAACATGGAAGAACATTTTTCTAAAGCAACACATGTCCTGCACGAGCAGAAGGGCGAAGTCGCCAAGTTGCAGGAGTTGGTGGAGCATGACGCGAGCAAGATCGCAGAGATGCGGCAGCAGCTGTTGGATTTGGAGCAACAGCGCAAAGAGCTGGCGTTAGGTTTAGATGTGGCGGCGCCCGATGAATCAGGGTCTGTTCAGTCAGCAACGTTGGGGCCTGGGTCCACAGTCGATGCGCTCCTCGAAGCCACGGCGTTGACGCAGGACGAGCGAGCGGTTTACCGACGCCCTGGTTCCAGCGGCAGCGGCGGCAGGCTCGGGGCAGAGGGCATCACCTGATGATGCAGCTGGAGCAGGGGCAGAGGAAGGCGGTGCAGCGCCCCCCATCGACGCCGCCAGCTGCGGTCTCTGCGCGGGCTGATCACGTTGCTGCTCTCAGAGGGCATCTTGATCGCATCGGTTTCAACGCTGGTGGCATGGACGAGGAAGAGATGCGCGACGCGGCAAATTATTTTCTCACGTGGAGGCAAAAACAACCTAAGGTGGCGTTCGAGCCCTTCTAGATATGCGGGTCTGCTGATCGCCATGGACTGGTTGGTTCACGGGCAATGGCGACGGAACAGTTGCCACTCGAATGCCGTGGAAAATAATTACGCGAAGGGAAAGGGCAGGCTGAGGTTCTTTGCCGGGGGATCTCGCGGCGCCACTGGGGGCGCGGCATGGCAGAATCTCGCATCGAACAGGGCTTCGCCTAACGTGCTCGTCGCCGCGCCTTGGGGCCCACCCCAGGCGTCGGTTTGCAGGGGCGTCTCGGCGGCTAAGCGCTCGGCCCGGGGGTGGGGGCCTCAACGCAGCGCGCGGGCAACAGGAGGGTCGACCAAGCGTGACTCTTTGGGGCCTACCCGGGATATGTCTTTGGAGGAACCCTGGAGCTTGCCATGCCCTGGCTGGTCCAGAGTGCTCGAGCGTTCAGATTGAACTGGCCAAGGAGGCAATCTGCAATTCACCATGCAGGTTCCCTGTCGAGGTGCAGTTCGCGGGCGATATCAATGGTTGCGCTGGGCATTGGAGCAGGGGCCTTCGAGGCGAGCAGTTTCAAGATCCCGATGTACGGCGCGCGCGGTGCGAAATTTATCCGCGCGTCTACCTGGCGCCCCCTGAACGCGCAGGACTCATCGGAAGGCTGGAAGTCGCGTGCAATTTGGCCTTTGGATCCGAGCTGGTTGCAGAGATGCGCGCCGACGCATGGCGCGAGGCGCGCGGGCGCCGGCGCGACTTGTATTGTTTTCTGCGGCATTGCGGCGGAGATGAACGGGAGGCGATGGCAGCTCAACGTCGGCGTTCGTATGACAGCATTGCGGACGCGATGGCAGACGCGCCTCGAGATCACGCGCCTGAGACTTGCCGTCGGCGGCGATCGCGGCGCAGCCGGGGCAGCCCGGACCTGGCAGGGTCGCAGGAAGTGGCGAGGGAGTTACCAGAGCTGCTGGCCGCACCGGGGGTTCGGTTTCGCGACGCCAAAGGCGTGGGGCAGGTCGCGGCTGGAGGCGAAACGCGACAAGATGGGTTCGCAGACAGTTGGGATGACAAAGACAAGGTTCGACAAACGCATATGGCACGGGGGGCTGGATCCGGGCGTTCACGGAGGAAGAAACGGGAGCGGGGGCCATTGCACGAGGACGTCGGACGTGCGTTACTGAGACGGCTCACGCATGGAAGGTCGTTGGTTTCTGGGGGAAACACTTACAGACGGGGCAGCGCAGTCTTAGGGAAACGCTGCGGGTTTTGCAACTCGGTGGCCAAGTGTAGTTTGATTTCAGCGGCACAATGCGGGCATCTGTTTGAGCGGGAGAAAGAGGTGAAGCTATCCCGGCAAAATGTTGCGCACAGCAAGGAGGTTATGAAACAAACCGACCAGGGCACCATTAATTTCTCCAAGGATGGGCTCTGGATGGCCCCGAGTGGTGATGCGCAGAGGGCCATTGCCAGCATCGTCGGGCTCGGCATGAACGGGGAGTTTCAGGCTATGCGGGGCAGCATGAGAAGTTGGAGGCGGCGGGCACTCAAGAGTTGGCATCGTGGAGCTGGCGTTGCCCATGAGCGCATGAAGGCACCTGTCAAGGAGGAGGTTGTTAAGACTGGGTTCCAAGCAGAGGCGCATCTGATGGTGGGGTGTGAGTCCGCGAAGTGGAAACGGCGAATCACGGTTGCGCGAAGCTCAAGTTGTCAAGTGATTTTGTTCTTGAGGCGGGTTGCACTCGAAGTTCCTTCGCGCAAGGCGAAAGAGCAGACAGGGATCGCGCCTGAGGGGCTCTGGCAGGAGCGCGTTGGTGGGCTGGTATTGGGCGGCGTGCTATTTTTCAAATGCGCGCTTGCCAGGGTCTCGCCCAATGGTGGGAGCATTGATATATTGGTGCGTTTGCCCAAGCCAGTCGGTGGAAGCTGCTTCGTTGGTTTGGCTCAGTCAGTTTTTAGATTTACATGGAGGGCTTGCAGCATCATGTCACCGCAATGGCTCAATCAAATGGGCCTTCCATGCGGGGGGGGCAGGTGCAGGTCGATCGGCGAGGGCCTCTGCGTTTCAACGCTATCTTACTGCAGAGGCGGAGTTGCTTCCTGGTTTGCACTCGATTGCGGCCGCGGCGGTTGCGCGGGGGGTTCGCGGGAGCGCGTTGCCGCAGGCTTGGTTGCAGCATGCAGCGGTGATGAAGCTTGCAGCTCGACTTGTCTTGGTGGCGCCGCAGCTTCGCATGGGGCTGAACGGTGCACGTTCGCGCGCGGCGTGGTCAGGTTGTGGTTTGCCTCGTCCCAAGGGTCCCTTGATGGTTGCAGACGTCGCGCCTTCTATGGTGGGCGGCCAGGGCGCCAGCAAACTATTGGGCCAGCTGGGCGACGTGCGGGCTTGATTTGATATCGCCAGTCAAAGTAGGTAGCTGATGAAGCGACGCCGACGAAGCAGCAGAAGCCAGACAGGTTGGAGCATGGTGCAAGATCCACCGCCAAGCCAGCAAGCGCAATGCGTTCCTTCTGCAGGCCAAGCAATGCCCATCGCATCTGGATGTTAGCGCAGCGGTTGAAGGGCGGGGACTTCCAGGCTTAAACCTTAAGTGGCTTCTCGCCACCGGAGGGGCGGGCGACGTCGCTAAGTCGGGTGCGGAAGAGGCCACCGTCGCTAAGGGCGGCGCTGGGCAGGTCCTGCTTGCGTTTTTATGAGGGGCGCATGTTGGCCAGGTATCTTTGCTGGGGCCTGACTCGGCCATTTCAGCAGCAACCTCGGAAATTCGCGCGGCAGACAGCGGTGAAGGTGAAGTACCAACGTCTTGCGATATTGGAGTTCTGGATCTGCAGTCACGAAGGCCCGCAGGCCTGTCTGGAGAGGCCGCAGCTGTGAAGTCATGGCCCAGACGCAGGCGCACTGGGTGTACTTTACTCGGGGCACTGGCAGCCATGGCGTTCAGGCGTCTATGCGAAGCGCTCGCATGGACGCGCACTTCAACGCCGTCGAGCGCGTGCAGTTCCAGTGTTATAGACCTGTTGTAGTGCAGGCTGCGCTGGAAGCAGATGGCATTGTCACGGGCGCTTGCGCGGCGGTGGGGCAGCCAGTTCAGGGCAACGGCGAGGTTGACCGCGGGGAACCAGTGGACAAGTCGTTCCGAATGCTCGGGCGCGAAATGTCGTGGTCGGCCAACGCGGCGAGTCGCGCTATGCGCGCTGGCTACTAGGCAAGGTTCGGTGGCAAGTTTCTATACCTCAGGAAGAAGGCGCGGCGGGGTTGCCGCGGCGAAGGACGGCCAGAAGGCGCGTATCAAAAACAGTGATCGGTTCTTCCATATGCGTGGCGTGGGCCCCCCCTTGGGCTAAGTTTTTTTAGTGCTGGCGCATCCTATTTTCTCATCCTATCTTCTGGTGGTCGGCAGCCCTGTTTTCGGCAGTGGGATGTATCGGCATGCTCTTGTCGCTCGGGCAGTGCATTTGGCTTTTTCTTTGGTGAAGTGGGTGGCGTATTCCACATGGTGGTTGGCTGGATATCAGATCTGGCTCCGTCGTGTTCTGAGTTCGGTCGGTTCTGTGTTCGGCAAGCCGCGCACGCTGTTGGTGCGCATTTGGCGCGTCGCACCGTCGAGGGGCGGTAGTGGTGGACGGACAGCGGAGGGGCGCGGTCGATTTCGACCGCACCTCCAGGAAGGATCAAGGATCAAAGAGAGAATGCGGAAGAGGAAGAGGATGAGGAGGAGGAGGAAGAGGAAGAGGAGGCGGGACGGGGAGGAGGGTCGAGGAGGGAGGGGGCCGTCGGCGACAGGCGGCGCGCGGATGTCCCGCGGCGGATGCCGCGGCGAGGCGGCCGCTGCTGCTGGCCGCGTGACGACGACGCGCGCGCCCTCGGCCCGCCGCCCGCGCGCTGTGTTCCGCGGGCTGGGCGTCGGCTGGGCTGTTGCTCGAAAGAGTGTGGCAGGGATGGGCTCTCGGCCGCGCGTACCTCCTCGCCCTCGTCGCCCTCCTCCTCGCCCTCCTCCTATTCGTCCTCCTCCTCGCCCTCGTCTTCGCCCTCCTTGTCGCCTTCCTCCTCGCCCCCCCTCCTCGTGCTCATCGCCCTCCTCCTTCTCCTCCTCCTCCTCCTGCTCCTCGATTCCTTTTCCTTATCAGTAACCTTACCTGGCGCACCCCGAGGCCAGTTTTTAGGGCGGGCTGGGTGTTTCGCCTGAGACTTCCTCACCACTCTTAGGTCCCACAACTGGAGGGCGGGTCGTTTTCAAACTGCGGTTCTCCCCTTAGCGCCGCGCGCATTTGTTATTAAACGTTGCAACAGCTTCACGGATTGAGGGCGACCCGTCTTCAAAGTGTGGTTCGCGCCGTAACCCCGCGCGCATTCGCTTTAACATGTTGCAAGGGTTTCACGGATTCAGGGCGTTTTTTCAACATGTGGCTTTCGCAGTAGCGCCACGCACATTCATTTTCAACGTTTCCACGAGTTTCACGGATTCCCGTGATCAGCGTACCAGAAATTGTGTTTTGGAAGGGTTTAGGATTTTGAATGCGCAACAACAGTTGCGTTGATTCGCGGTGTTGAAGTCCCAGGAGTGACGTCTTGGCACGACTCAGGATCGCCAAGACGCAGCAGTCAGATTGTTCCGTGGCGTTGGAGTCCCGAGAACATTGTTTTGGCATGCTGCAGGATCTTCAAACGGCTGTCTTCCAACGAGGCAGTTCCCTCAGTGGAAATGAACCGTTGTATGGGGCCTATGGGCCTATGAAGAGGGAGCTTGGAGGGAGGGTTTATTAAAACATCGTTGATGACTCTTGGATTTACTCTGGTCCTCCTCGCACCCCCTCCTCGCCCTCCTTTGGGGCACACTCGGAGGCCTCCGAAGGCCCCCAGAAGGCCAGAAACGTCCGACAACTACCTCTGAGAGAAAGTTTGGCAGGGAAATGCGCAACGGTTCCGTAGGAGGGGGGATGAGGAGGGGGGGAGGAGGAGGAGGAGGAGGAGGAGGAGGAGGAGGAGGAGGAGGAGGAGGAGGAGGAGGAGGAGGAGGAGGAGGAGGGAGGAGAGAGGAGAGAGGAGAGACGAGAGGGGAGAGAGGAGAGAGGAGAGAGGTGAAGAGAGAGGAGGAACAGGAGGAAGAGGAAGGCTCCCTCGGCCACGCGCAGGTTGGCGTTGGAAAGGTGGCATGCGATGTGGCGCCGCCTTGCTCATCACGCGCTGCCCCCCGCCTGGGGGATGGCGTTCACAGAGGGATCCCTCGCGGGGGGACCGCCTCACGGGGACAGCGTGCCTTTCGGAGATCAATGTTGCACCGTACCTTTCAAACGTCAACTGTAAGAGAGACCTTTCGCCGGAGTGACCTTCGGTGCTGGCCCACAGGGGTCTCCATAGCAGCCGCCCGGGCGCTTGGACCTGACCCTCCCGCCCGCGGCCCCCGAACGCCGCGCACCGTGGATTTTGCAATGTAGCCAGCGTGGACCCCAACGGTAGGTTCTTGGAGTCTATGCGGTGCAATCTATATGGTGCAATTGATTCTTACCCATGATGTGACACATCCCACGCTCTTGCAAACATCCCACCCACCCACCCGCAACTTGGTGCGCAAGACCTCTTAAGACCGACTACGACGACACCGACGACATCGACTACGACGACACCGACGACGTCTCCGACGACTTCGACGACGACAACGACGCCGACGACGACGAAGACGACGACGACGCCGACGAAGACGACGACGAGGGACGAGGAAGGACGACGACGGCGATAACGACGACAACGACGACAACGACGAGGGAGGAGGGAGGACGGCGACGACGCGAACGACGAAGAAGGAGGAAGGACGGCGACGCCGACGACGACAACGACGAGGAAGGAGGGAAGACGACGACAACGACGACGACGGCGACGAAATAGGAGGGACGACGACGAGACGCCGACGACGGACGACGACGACGACGAGGGAGGAGGAGGGAGGACGACAACGGCGGCAACGACGACGGAAACGACCACGACGCCAAAGAGGACGACGACGACGAACACGAGGAAAGACAGAGGAAGACGTAAGCGACGACGACGACGACGCGGGAGGAGGGAGGACGGCGACGACAACGACGACGACGCAAGAGAGCGCGCGCACGCTTTTGTAGAAAATCCATGTTGCGAAACCTTGGGTTTTTTGTAGGTTTTTTGGCAACGATTTTGCAATCCTTCCGAAACCGATGGGTTTTGAAGGTTTTCGGCGTACGCGCGCGACGACGCGCGCGTCTGCACTTCGTTTCATTTTTTGCAGAGGATTCCCGCGACGGCACACTCGCAAGGGCGTTCGACAGATTTCGACATGCGCGCGCGAAGCCCGTTTAATAGCATTTTGGCAAAATCTTGAAAAACAAACATATTTCTTAAGATTTCGCAAGAGCTCGCGCGGAAGCTTTCTTAGCAGATCAGTGTTGCGAAACCCTGTGTGTTTGTATGTCTTTTGGGAACTCGATTGCGAAATCTTTCCGGCACCGAAGGCTGTTGCAGGATTTCGGCATGCGCGCGCGACGACGCGCGCGCGCACTTCGTCCTATTATTTTGCAAGGGATTCGTGGAAAAGTGTTATGTTATTACCACAAATGTCACCGCATTGTTTTTAATGAATGAATTAATTAAGTAATTAATTAATTGATTAATTGATTAATCAATTAAGTAAGTAATTAGTTAATTATATATGTATCCCTGCGGGTGCACTTGCACCTGGTGCGCGATGTATGATATGTGTAGTATATGCACGTATATGTTTGTTTGTGTTTGTAAGTCGGTGCATGTGTATACGTATGTGTATAGGGTATAGGTAGATGTGTCTGTATGTGTGTATGTGTACATGTGTGTAAGTGCGTCCTGTGAAGAGGAGCCTCAGGGAGGCCCAGGGAGCTTCAGGGAGCCTCAGGGAGCCTCAGTGAGCCCTTGTGCGCCTCAGGGAGCTTCAGAGAGCCTCAGGGAGCCTCAGGGAGCCTCAGAGAGCCTCAGAGAGCTTCAGAAAGCTTCAGGGAGCCTCAGGGAGCCTCAGAAAGCCTCCGAGAGTCTCAGGGAGCCCCAGGGAGCCTCAGGGAGGCCCAGGGAGGCTCAGGGAGCCTCAGAGCGCTTTGCTCTTTTTGTTTTTTTTGCTCGCAAGGCCTAGGTGCCCTAAGCCTCACGCCCCGAGTATTCGGCCAAGCGCGCCTGCCTGTCCGCTTTCAAAGGATGATGGCATCGAAACCACCACTGGTAGACGTAGCTCCAGAGCTCCACGTTCAGGTTACCCTCGCCGTCACTCCCCCAGATTCCCTTCGGAATCCACTCCTTGATGCGAGACCACCGCTCATCGATCAGACCTGTGTTCACATCGAGTGTGCCATACCCACGCACACGCGCCTTCTCATTCAATACCCCCTTGGAATGTACACAGAATCGATGGCGTAGGCCATGCTCACGAGCCAGGCGGGCGTACAAACGAGCACCGTCAGAGACCAGCACCGACTTGTCCGCGACGTGGTCAAGGCCGCCCGACGCCAAGACGTCCTCGCGGCACTCTACCTGGGAGGAGGAAATCACGACAGGTCACCTCTGGCCCTCCACCCTCCCTGCCTTCATCGCCCCCTCTCCTCCTCATCCTCCTCCTCCTTTCCCTCCTCCTCCTCCTCGTCGTCGTCGTCCTCCTCCTCCTCCTCCTCTGTCCCACCCCCTCCCTCCTGCCACCCCCATCCCTCCATCCGACGAAGGCAAGGGGGGGGAGGGCCAAGAGAGCTGGCCTGTCCTGTTTTACTCCTCGCACTGACGGGCACACGGCATTGGGCGCAACCTTTTTGACGGGCGCGAAGTACACCATTGTTCGCGGCACGGCCGGATCGCGGGGCCGCTCCGCCAAACTCCACAATGCCACGTGGCAGTTCTTCCCCTTATGCTTGAAGAGTTTCAGGCCAGTACCGTCGCCCTCGACGACGCCCTTGCGCGTCATGGCCTGCATCTCCTCGTAGCCGAGGTTCGCCTCCTGCCAGCGGAGCCAGCGAAAGAGCTTCATGATGGAGCGAGAGCGAGACATGCCGACATCCTTGCAGAGCTGCTGCAGCTCGGGCCTGGTGGCTGCATGGTACTTCTCTACAAACTCCAAGAGCGCAGGCAGTGGGAACGGGTACTTGACCTGGGGGAGAACGCAGAATTTGATGCCATTGTAGATGTCACCGCATCTGCTGCCCCGAAAGAAGACCGAGGTGAGCTTTCTCTTCTTGACCGCCAGCGTGGCCTGGAGCGCATTCTTCCGCTTGGTCTGCGGGCCGTTCCGTGTCTGGCCGTGTCCGTCGAGCTTGGTGCAGGCGCAGCTTGCATGGCACCGAGGGCAAAGGTAGCTCCTGCAGTTACCACGCGCACCCGCCTTGGCCAAGCGCCACTTGGCCAGAGCCTTCCACGCTTTTGCCATGCTCTGCTTTGCTGCCAAGGCCAGCTTTGCCTCGTCCTTGGTGCTCCTGGTCAAGCAGCGGCGCTTCTCTTTCGCCGCCTTCTTGCGCCCCTTCGCTGCCTTCCTGGCCGCGGAGACCTTCACAGGCGCGCCGTGCCCGATGGGAGATACCTCTGTGTCTAGTTGGTCGAGCCTCGTCCGCCCGCGGCGATGAAGGCAAGTTGGTGTTCCTCCTGTTTTTCCTTCTTCCCCATCCCGTCCTCCTCCTCCTCCTCCTCCTCCTCCTCCTCCTCCTCCTCCGTCTCCTCCTCCGCCTCCTCCTCCTCGTCTCTTCCTCCACGTGTATCTCCCAGGGGGGAAGGCGTGCTCGCGTGGACCCTGCGGCTGCCCTTGTGCGACACCCTGCGCTGCAGCTTGTGGGCCTTGCGGTAGATGAACTTCGTCTGTATCCCCGTCACCTTGAGGCCCGACCCGCCTGTCTTGAGCGCGTCCACCACGGCGCTGGGGGAGTGGGCCTTCTGCACGCTGCGGAGGAGCTGCTGGGCGAGCTTGGGGCAACTCCTGAGGTTGTGGCCAGCCTTGCCGCAATGCTGGCACACTCGCTGCTGAGGCTTCGGCATCACTGCAAGCGGCGCCTTCTAGCAGTAGCAGAGTCTGGTTCGGGCTCTGGCTCTGGCTCCTCCACGGGGCCCACGGGGCCCTCTGCCTCCTCGTCGCTGTCGAGCTCCGTGTCTGGCACGAAGCTGCTCTCCTCGCTCTCGCTGGCCTCCTCGTACCCGCAGGGTCCGAGCCCGTTGTTGTCCTCCTCGTCGGACAGCCAGTCCGTCACTGGGTCGTCCTCGTAGTCGAACTCCCAGTTGTGGTCGGGGTCGAACCAGCAAGGGAGGCAACTTACCACGGAAGAGCTGCGTTGCAGCCCCGGAAACGAGTGCCAGCCACAAGGAGACCTGCAGTAGTCGCACCTGGGCATGCCAAAATGGCACGCTGGGAGCCTCTGGGCCTTGGGCCAAAACGGCCACGGAAGAGCTGCTCAGAACCATGTAGAAAACAACACCAAAAAGCATAGTGTTTTTTGGTAGTGGTCACCGTGCTAATCTGTAGATCACCAGGAGCTACAGCCACGGACCCCTCCCTACAGTAGAAGAAATCCGGGCATCGCACGTCTGGTCTCGCCTCGAGGCGCAACCCGTTGAAGGATCGCATCGATCTCTGGGACGGCTGGGGCAGTACTTGGTTGCAGCCTCCTGCCCTAAGCCTCGCGCCCTGAGCTGTCTGAGCGAGTGTTGTGCGATTCGCGATTGCGGCCGTCACCTGGGATGTTCCCCCCCCCCCCCCACACACACACGATGAGCTGGCCCCTCTGGCACCTCCCATGCATCCATCCTGTCCTTCTGGCACCTTCTGTGTGTCCCTCTTCTCCCTGCCATGCCTCTGCTCAGGCCTGCCTCCGCTCGTGCGTATCCCTCATATCCGGCATATCCCTCCTGTCCCTCTTAACCCTCGCATCCCTCCTATCCATCATATATCCCTTTGTGCATGATATCATATGTCCCTCCTACCCATCCGATCCCTCCTCCCACTACAACCTTGTCCAAGTGCCCAGCCGCAACAAGCTAGCAACGCACAGCGCCGCGGATACGAGCCACGCACTACAACGAACCACCAGGTGCAAGTGCACCCGTTAATATATATATATATATATATATACATATATATATATATATATATATATAGATGTACACATGTATGTATGTATATATATATATATATAGGAAGGGACTTCAGGGGGGGGCACCCGGTTGGCATTTGACATTGCGATTTCATATTTAGGAAGGACATGTGGTCATAATCATATATGATTTACATACCCGAAAGGGGGACCGCTAATGCCGGGGGGAGATCTTATTCTGTTTTTAACCACTGTTGAACTTGAAGTCGTCATTTCCACTGCTCGCGCAAACATCCCACCCACCCACCCGCAACTTGGTCTGCAAAACCTCTTGAGACCGACTACGACGACACCGACGACAACGACTACGACGACACCGACGACGTCTCCGACGACTTCGGCGACAACAACGACGCCGACGACGACGAAGACGACGACGACGACGCCAACGAAGACGACGACGAGGGAGGAGGAAGGACGACGACGGCGACAACGACGACAGCGACGACAACGACGAGGGAGGAGGGAGGACGGCGACGACGCGAACGACGAAGAAGGAGGAAGGACGGCGACGCCGACGACGACAACGACGAGGGAGGAGGGAAGACGACGACGACAACGACGACGACGACGACGGCGACGAAATAGGAGGGACGACGACACGACGACGACGAGGGAGGAGGAGGAAAGACGACCACGGCGACAACGACGACGGAAACGACCACGACGCCAAAGAGGACGACAACGACGAACACGAGGAAAGACAGAGGACGACGTAGGCGATGACGACGACGACGCGGGAGGAGGGAGGACGGCGACGACGACGACGACGCCGACGCAAGAGCGCGCGCACGCTTTTGTTGAAAATCCGTGTTGCGAAACTGATCGCTTTCCAAACTTGATTGGTCGCGTCTCGGGGTGGTTGGGTCGTGGTGGGCCGTGTAAGATAGTAGTGCAGGTTGTCCTCCCTCCCCCTGCCCTGTCTGTCTTTCGTGTCCGCTCAAGCTTTCTCTGGCTCGAAGTCTTTCGAGCCAGGTGCTCGCGGCGCGGGCTCTGATCGTCGGCGCCACGGCGAGGCGGTGGTGGCTGGTTGGTGCCGCCTTGCTCTCCTACATCGGGAACTTCGGGGCCCTCGACTCGATCTTGGGAGAGCCGCTCGTGGAGCCCGAGGACGACGCGTCCTTGAGGTGCACGAGAGAGTCTGAGCGGATGAGTTTCTGCGACTACCTCCGGGTCCACATGTCCAGCGTGACGCGATGGAGCCGCTTCTATCGGACTACGGCGCCCCAGCGTGGGCAGGTGGTCTGAATGGTGATGCGAATGCACCCCAAGAAGAAGAACGATACGCGGTGGATCTACGTGAAGCCGGACCGCGCCCTGGGCGTAGGCGACATCAAGGATCGATCGAAGCTGTCGAGCCGCCGCCAGCAAGGGTGGGACTACGAGTCTTTCCCCGCCCTGACGGCCTCGGAGAAGACGGACATCATGGAGAAGGCCAAGGAGAAGCAGCTCGAGGCCGAGCTGTATCTTTCAAATATCCGAGGGTACGTGGCCTACTTGTCCTGTTTTCGTTCTGGGCTAGTTGGTACCTGGGGCACGTGGAACTGGGGATCGACGGTGGGCGCCGCTTTCTTCTTCTGGAGGGTGGCTGTCTATTTCAATTTATGGCAGTGTATGCGTTGGACTGCCGAGAAGCTCGAGGATGGCCACAACCTGCTCCTCGAGGTCGACGACTTCCGAGGCTACTTGTTCGACCTCTACGAGGACGGCAAGTTCGAGATCCCCATCATGATCTTCGCTGCTTTGGTGGCTGTGGGGCCGAGCCCCCTGCGCTGCTTCGAGCAGCGCCCGTCGCCTCTGCTGGCCAGTGGCACGCCTCCAGGGAGCGACATCGACAGCGACGGGGGGGCGAAACATTCGGCGGCGGGCGCCTCGGACGAGTCGGAGCCCGCGAAGGAAATGCAGGAGATGAGAGCCATGATGAGCAGCCTCCTCGACGAGATTACCCGCCCGCGATCGGAGTCGCCTCGGGCACGAACCAGTCAGAGCACGTCGTCGGCAGCAGACAGCAGCCGCGCCAGCTGGGGGAGTGCCCAGCGTCGCGTCCGAGCCCAGCATGGACATTCATGTGGACAGGATGATCGACAGGTTGAAGAGATTCGGAGACACTATCAGCGCGGACAAGGCCTCGCCTGGTTGCGAGCCTCTGCAGGATGCATCGTCGTCGGCGGCCACGGCGGGATCCACGACCTGCCCCGCCATCGACCTGGGGGCGAAGGAGACGCTGGAGGGCGCGGGGGTGAGCCTCGAGCCCTTGAGGGAGGCCCTCAGGGACCCCAGGGAGCGGCTGCTCGCCAACCTCTCGAAGATCGACGCTCCGCCGACCTTCGCCCTCCCCGCGGGCCCACCTCGCGCGCGGCGCCCGAGCTGCTGGTCCAGACCTACGGGAAGCACGGCAGCATGGTGAAGTTTGCGACGGACTGGGCGCGCCTCGAGGAGCTGAACCGGAACCATATCGGGCGCGAGATAATGCTGCACTGCATGGCGCTGGATCGGATGCTGGAGGCCTCGCCCGAGTTCATCCAGACGGCGGGGCGCGAGATCCTGCGCGCGGGGGTCTACGCGTTGAAGAGGGCGTTCAAGGACGTGGCAGGCATCAAGGATTGGAAGCAGCCTCGGGGCAGCGGGGCCAACAAGTGGAAGTCCAAGGTGCGCTGGGACCTCGCGAGCGAGTTGGATTGGAGGTCTCTCACGGAGGGCGAGGAGGCGCATCCAGGAGTGGAGCGCGACTTGACGGCCAGGCTGCAGCATAAGGATCTCTTCCAGAAGTATCTGCAGAAGGGGGGCTCGGACGCGGCCAAAGAGGAGGACGAGTAGACGTGGGGGAGATCCCCCCCGTCTGTGGTGCCCTGCAAGGCCCCCCGTGCTTGCGCGAGGGGCCGGCGGTCTCCCGCTCCGTTCGCTCTGATGACGGCCACTCCGGTGGGCTTACTCTCCTGATAGCTGCGGTGGTGTTCCTGCTAGTCGTGACGATCTTTTCGCGTGGTACCGCATCCCGTGGGAGGCGACCCCATCCCCGCTTTTCCACATCCACGCGCCTCTCCATCGTCTACCTCGACCGCAGCCGCGGGCGTGCCTCCCGAAGCCGCTCCTCGAGACCGAGACCCGCTGCCAGACTTGCCGCTGCTACCTTGGTCGGTGGTGGCGGACCGCGCGGGGCCGATGCGCCAAGGAACGCTGCGACATGTGCGAGCTCTCGCCAACGGGCTGATCCGATCCATGCACAACCTCTCGCGGGGCACGGTCGGGGCGGCCGAGGGCGCGGGGCCGTCGGCCTCGTGAGGGCGGGCGTCTCCGCTCCAGAGGGCCACTTCGAGGGGGCTCCTGGAGGCGCGGCTAGCTTGGGGCAGCCAGGTGGGGAAGACGAGGACGCTGCCCTTCGGCGCGTCACGGCCGGTCGGGCCTCGCCATGCTCAGGCGAAGGGGCTGCCATTGCCCTGGGGAAGGGTTCAAAGGGAAGAGAGATGCTACCGAAGGGCGCGATGTGCTCCGTCGACGCGGGGGAGTTGGCCCTTCCGCCGCCAGGGGCCGCCCCTGCCAGGATCGCGGACATCTGCCCGCTGGCCGCCGAATACTTCTCCGACGTCGCCGGGGGGATGCTACGCGAGCCCAGCCTAGCCATGGACGAGGAGCTGAAGGGCCAGAAGGTCTAATCGCGGGCGTCGCGTCTCCGCCTGGCCGAGAGGCTCTGGGGCGCGGGGGTGCTCGGGACCACCGACCAGCTAGTCGAGGGCGTCTCGCTCTTCGGGGTCATCAAGAAGTACCTGCAGGAGGAGGCGGACCTCCTCGGTCCCGCCAAGCGTCAGGTCCGCGCCATCTGGGACCAGAGGCGGGCCAACCTCCGCTGGCAGAGACCCCCGTGCGTGCCCCTCGGCAGCCCCGCGTCCTTCGCCCACCTGGACCTCTCCAACCTCGGCGAGAAGGACGTGGTCTACACGGGCGTGGGCGACATCCCGGACATGTTCCATCGCTTGGAGACGCCGCCCGAAGCGTGGCCATACTTTGTTTTGGAGGAGGTCCCCGTCCGCGAGTTCGTCGACTACGTGAAGACCAAGGGGCGGGAGTGCGTCGTCCCCGATGGCTGGCCCTTCCTGGCGCTGAGGTCTTGGCGATGGGCTGGTCGTGGGCCCCGTTCTTGGCCCTCTCTACGCCGCAGGCATGCATGGCGCGCGGGCCCGGGGGGGACTCCGTCGGCGCGCGCCTGGCCCACGGGGCTCCGACGCCGCAACTGATCGGACCCGACGGGTTCGAGTCGGTGAGTTGGGCGTACATGGACGACCACGGGGTCCTGGCCACGTCCGCCAGCGCGCAGCAGCCAGTGGGCGAGGTCGTGAGCAGGCTGACGGCCCGCGTCAAGCACTATCCGGGGCAGGTCGGGCCCCCCCGCCCACAAGGAGAACGAGGGCGAGGGGCTCGAGTCGCTGGGGGCAGTCATCCGAGGCCGACCCTATACAGTCTCGGCCGAGATCGATCGCACCTGCGGCCTGGCTCTGGTGACGTCGCGGGTGGTGGAGCGGACGTGCTGGACCGCGGAGCTCCTCGAGCGCATCGTGGTGCCGTGGGCGCGGGCGGCCCTCTTCCAGCGCACGGGCCTCGCCATCTTCGACCAGGTCTATCACGAGATGAGACGCCCCGAGACCGCCAAGACGCCGTTCCGCCTGTCGGACGCGGCGAGGTGGGAGCTGACTACGATTGCATACTGCGCGCCGCTCCTGCGCACGGACCTCGAGGCGCCCTGGCTCGCGCAGGCGTTCATGGCGGACTCCAGCGACACGGGCTACGGGGTGGCGGTCACCGACGCATCGCCGGAGGAGATCCGGGAGGACGCGCGCTACAGCGAGATGAGGGGATGGACGATCGCCACCGAGCACACTTACACGGGCCAGGAAGAGGGCGCGCGGGTACCCCACGCTGGGGGGCGCGCCTACGACGTGGACGAGATCGCCGAGGCATCGACCGCGCCCCCGCCGCGGGTCGTTCGGAGGGTCTACCGAGTGCTGTACCTCTTCGCGGGCAGGCGCCGGGGGGGGGGACATGGAGGGGGCCATCCACTCGCGGGCGGAGCTCGACGGCTACGAGGTCCAGGTCTGGTCCATCGACGCGGTGATCGACCCGAAGCACGACCTCACCAACGACGAGTTCGTCGGCGTGTTCCTGGGGCTGGCGCGCGGTGGGTACTTCCACGCCGTGATCGCCTCGTCTCCCTGCTCCACCTGGAGTCGAGCTCGCTTCCTGGGAAAGGGGTCGAAACCCCTGCGGACGCGCCTCGAGCCCTGGGGGCGGAGCGACATGTCCTTCACGGCCTTCGAGCGCCTCCGCCTGGACCTGGGGGCGCGCCTCCTGCCCGCGGCCATGCAGGCGGTCCGCGAGGTCTGCCTAGCCGGCGGCCTGGGCTTGATGGAGCACCCTGCAGACCCGGTGGAGGACCCGTACCCGTCCATTTGGAACTTCCCCGAGATGGCGAGCCTCCTCGAGGAGACGGGCGGGCAGATCAACCGGATCGACCAGCGCCGCTACGGAGCCCCGTCGATGAAGCCGACCATGATTGGCATATTCGGGTTCTACGACGACGCGCTGGACCTCGCCGCGGATTGTCTCCGCCTGAGGTGCAACCACAGGGCGGCATCAGGCCGTACTCAAGGGAAGAGCGGAACGGGGCCGTCCCGACTTCTGCACCGCCTCCGCCCAGGCGTGCCAGCCGCCGCTGTGCGCCGCGCTGGCAGTGGCGATCCTCAAGGCGTTCGCCCGCGTGACGAGGGGGGCGCGCGGCCCCGACCCAACGGGCTCGCGGACATCTCCATCTACGGCGTCCTTCAGCCCGCCGAGGCCGGGAAGGGCGAGGGGCGAGGTGGGGCGGGGCGATCGGATCAAGGTCCCTCCGCTGGCCCCTGCCTGGATGCCGCTCGCGAGGCGGCGGCCGCTCTACTACGGGAAGTGGAGGGTCACGGAGCGCGCGAACATCAACGAGGCGCGGGCCGTGGTGGGCCTGCTGCGACACTTGGCCAGATCGCCACGGACGTGGAGGCGGAAGGTCCTGATCCTCACCGACAGCATGGCGGCGCTGGGGGCCCTGGGCAAGGGGCGCTCGAGTTCGCCAGCCCTGCTGCGCCTGTGTCGCCAGGCGGCGGCGATCGCCCTGTGCTTCGCGATCCGCGGGCACTACCGCTACGCCCCGTCGGAGCTGAACGTCGCCGACGGCCTCTCTCGAGGGGGCTTCCTCGGCGCGGCGCCCGAGACGTTGGCGGCCCACGGCGACCGTCACCCCGCCCCGACGGGCGGCCGAGCTCACGACCTTCGCGACTTAGGCCGCGCGTGCACGGGATGCGCTGGCGGCTAGTTGTCCTGGCGCCCGAGGCAGTTTGCCCCGTCGGCGCGGTCCGCCCGAGGCCGCCCAAGGCGGGCGACGTCCCCCTGCAGAAGCGGGGGCCGCGGGCGTGGGGCAACTGCGAGCGGGGGCCGCACCTTGGCATCAGCGAGGGCGGCTCCACGAGGCTCCTCGCCCACTCCGCGGCGGACGTCACCGCGACGCAGTGGGCCCCGAAGGCGCGGGACTTCCTCGACTACTGCGTCGACGAGGGCTGGGGGCTTCGGTCCGCGAGCGCCGTGGGCCACGCTCTGGCCGACTACATGGGCGTGAAGTGCTATCGGGGCCGACTTCGCCCCGCGTGGGGGTCGATCGTCTTGTTCGGGCTGCTGGTGATCTGGCTTGAGCTGAGGAACCAGCTCCCCCTTGGCCTTGCGAAGCTTGAAGAGTTGGCAGAGGTTGGTCGTCTCCGTGGAGGGGGGCCCGCTGCCCGAGGAGGCCGTCTTCGCCATCGCCATCTACTTTTTCGGGGCGGGGCTCCTGGGCGAAGCCATATGGACGCTGGCGAAGTATGGCGTCTACGGCCGGGGGCAGGACATGGAGATGCTGCGCGAGGCCGACGTCATTTGGGATGGCCGATGCGCGGGCCTCCTCTTTGGCATCTCTGCCAGAGGCGAGGAGGGCAAGACGGGCTGCAACAGGGGGGTCGTCATCCGCCGCGGGACGGTGGCGAACCTCATCCTGGCCCTGAAGGACGCCAAGAAGAACACCACGGGGCCCATCTTCGGCCCGCGGCAGGCAGGCTTCCGCAAGGAGTGGCATCGCGCGTGTCGCGCGCTGGGGATGCCCTGGACGCCGCCGCCGCACGGGCCCCGCCACTCGGGGCCCAGCGAGGGCGCGGCGCGCGGCCAGGCTGGCCTCGAGCAGGTGCGGAGGCGAGGCCGGTGGAAGGCCCTTTCCAGCGTCTAGAGGTACTCCAAGACGTTCGCCCTCACGCAGTTCCGTGCGAAGATGCCGAAGAAGGTGCTGGAGGTGGGCCCCCGCGCGACCTCGGACCTGGCCGCCGAGATCATCCGAGCGATGGGATCCCGCACCAACTACAGCAAGCAGCAGAGGCAGCTGGTCGACGGCATCAAGGAGAACTTGAAGACGAAGAAGGCGAAGGACGTTGCCGCGGAGCTCCTGATATTATGTTCACCGAGGTTGAGGCAGAAGGCGACCAATAAGCAGAAGTCCACCAAGGGCGAGATGAGCTGTCCGGACTCCGACGACCTCTACTCCGACGAGACGTGGGGGGAGACGACCGGATGGTGGACAGAGTGAGGCGACGGGCCAAGAGGGGGCGCCCATGCGGGCGGCTAGGGGCGCCATGCGAGGGCTCCCTAGAGGTGCGTGGCCTACGGGCGCGACCACCACTGGGGTGCTCTTGGCCACGTCGCAGTGATCACAGATGAGGTTGTTGTCCCAACCCGCCCGCCCTGGACAACGACATGGAGAATTTCGGCTACGCCAGGCACATCATATGCGGGAGTGGGAATGAGAATCTCCTGGCGCCGATCGCAACTCGAGTTTTTGTTTGTTGTTATGATTGGATTGAGGGTATACGTATCTCAATCGGCCTCCCGATGAATAATATATATAGTTATGGATTCGGCCCGTCGGGGCCCTCGCGCAGCGCGCGGTTGAAAAGAGCGCCTCATATAGGCCGCTTCGCGGCGTTGCTGCGCGCCCGGCTGACAGAGATTAGATGGATCCTCTTCAGCTTCGCTGGCCCCCCGCCTTCCCCCCGAGACGTAGCGATAACGATCGCTTTCCAAACTTAATTGATCGCGTCTCGGGGTGGTTGGGTCGGGGCGGGCCGCGTAAGATAGTAGTGCAGCGTGTCCTCCCCCCCCCTGCCCTGTCTGTCTTTCGCGCCCGCTCAAGCCCCCCTCCTATTTGAAACTTTTTGTCCCGCCCTACTCTCGCGACACGTGAGACTGAGAATCTTCTGATGCCGATCGCAACTCGAGTTTTTGTTTGTTGTGATTTGGTTGAGGTTATACGTATCTCAATCGGCATCCCGATGATGATGATGATGATGATGATGATGATGATGATGATGATGATATAATATAATATATATATATATATATATATATATATATATATATATATATATCGGAGTAGGGCCCGGGGGCGGCCCGGCGCGCTGCCAGCAATCTCCATGGGGGGTGCAGGGCGCCCCCGGGAGCGTCCGAAGCGTCCCGGAGGGCCCCTGGGACTGCCAGGAACAGTTCGAGACCGCCCAAGACGGCCCGCGAGCGCTCCAAGACGCGCATAGATAGCCTCAGGAATGGCCAGGAAGGCCCGAAGACGTTCCAAGAGAGCTCCATGAGGCCCCGAAGGCATCCCAAGATGCCTCCCAAGAGAGCGCCGCCAAGCCAAAACCGTTGATTTTGTTTATGATTTTGTTTATTGTTTTTGTTTGTTTTTTTGGCCTTCTCGCTTTTTCGGGGTTCCGACGCCCCAAGACCGTCCAAGAGTCTCCCAAAACCGCTCCAAGACGGCCGAAGAGGCCCCCAAGACCGCCCCAGGACGGCCCAAGAGACCTCCCAAATCGTCCCAAGACGGCCCAGGAGAGCCTCAAGATGGCCCAGGAGCCGCCCAAGACGGTTCCAGGAGAGCCCCGACAGGGCTTCAAGACGGCCCAAGCGAGCCCAGCGGGCCCCAAGAGGGCCCCGCGAGGCCCCAAGAGGCCCCGGAGAGGCCCCCAAGAGCCTCCCTGGAGGCCCCCAGGAGGCTCCCAAGATGCCCAAAAATGGCCCTGAGCGCGCCCCAAGACGCCTCCAGGAGAGCCCAACAGGCCACCGAGAGGCCCCCAGGAGGCCCACTGGAGGCCCTCAGGAGGTCGCCCCCATCATGTTCCCGGAAGGCGGCCCGCGCCTTGGAGGAGTATTCTGCGCCTTCCGAGGCGCCTTGGACGACGTGCGATTCATATTCTTGAGCGCTTTCCGGGAACATGATTTCTCACCGTCTCGGAACGCTTTCCTACTGCTGCGGTGCTCTGGGGGAAGGGACGGGGGCCCTGGAACATGATCGGGAGGTTAGGGAACGAGGGTTCGGAACGGAGGTGCGGGCTTCCGACCCATAGCACACATGCGTCATGGCGTCCACCAATTGCCCGCCGACGGTGCCTCAAACGTGTACTAGAACCTAAGCGCGCGCGTAGCGCGCGTGGTTCTAGTGTGTGTGTGTGTATGTATGTATGTATGTATGTGTGTGTGTGTGTATATATATATATATATATGTGGCCCGTCGGGGCCCTCGTGCAGCGCGTGGTTGAAAACAGTGCCTCTCCTATGGGCCGCTTCGCGGCTTTGCTGCGCGCCCGGCTGACAGAGACTAGATATGCCTTCTTCAGCTTCGCTGGCCCCCCGCCTTCCCCCCGAGACGCAGCGATAATTTCGGTTTTTCTCCAAGGTTTTATGGGCGCGCGATTTTTGAAATCCTTCCGAAACCGATGGGTTTTGAAGGTATTCGGCATACGCCCGCGACGACGCGCGCGTCTGCACTTCGTCATAGTTTTTCCAGAGGATTCTCGCGACAGGACACGCGCAGGGGCGTTCGACAGATTTCGACATGCGCGCGCGAAGCCCGTTTGGTAGCATGTTTTGAAAATCGTGTAAAACTTATGTGTTATATATATATATATATATATATATATATGTATATATATATATATGTGTACATATAGATCAGTGTTGCGAAACCCTGTGTTTTTTTGTATGTTTCTTGGAAACTCGATTGCGAAATCTCTCCTGCACCGAAGGTCTTTGAAGGATTTCGGCACACGTGCGCGACGACGCGCGCGCGCGTGCACTTCGTCCCTTTTTTTGGCAAAGGGATTCGTGAAAAAAGTGCTATGTTAGAACAACAAATGTCACCGCATACTGTTTTTTTATACCAGGGACCCTCAGAGGTGGGAGCCCGGTTGGCATTTGACATTGCGATTCCATCTTTAGGATGGACATGTGGTCAGAATCACGTATGATTTACAGACCCGAAAGGGGGACCGATAACGCCGAGGGGGGGGTAGAGTCTATTCTGCTTTTAGAAAGGAGAATAAAGGATAATCTATGCGATGCAACCTATGTCATGTAATAGACGCGGTGCAATCTATGTGGTGCAATCAATCACTTGCTCAACTTGAAGCTGTCCTCTCCACTGCTCGCGCAAACATCCCACCCTCCCACCCGCAACTTGGTTTGCAAAACCTCATAAGACCGACTACGACGACAACGACGACGACGACACCGACGACGTCTCCGACGACTTCGACGACGACAACGACGCCGACGCCGACGACGACGACGACGACGCCAACGAAGGCGACGACGAGGGAGGAGGAAGGACGACGACGGCGACAACGACGACAACGACGACAACGACGAGGGAGGAGGGAGGACGGCGACGACGCGAACGACGACGAAGGAGGAAGGACGGCCACGCCGACGACGACAGCGACGAGGGAGGAGGGAAGACGACGACGACGACGACGACGACGACGACGACGACGACGACGACGACGGTGACGAAATAGAACCGACGACGAGACGCCGACGACGGACGACGACGACGACGACGTGGAAGGAGGAGGACGGACGACCACGGCGACAACGACGACGGAAACGACCACGACGCCAAAGAGGACGACGACAACGAACACGAGAAATGACAGACGACGACGTAGGCGACGACGACGACGACGCGGGAGGAGGGAGGATGGCGACGACGACGACGACGACGACGACGACGACGCAAGAACGTGCGCGCACGCTTTTGTTGAACATCCGTGCTGCGAAACCTTAGATTTTTGTAGGTTTTTGGGACGCACGATTTTGAAATCCTTCCGAAATCGATGGGTTTTGAAGGTTTTCGGCATACGCCCGCGACGACGCGCGCGTCTGCACTTCGTCCCATTTTTTGCAAAGAGTTCTCGCGACGGCACACGCGCAAGGGCGTTCGACAGATTTCGACATGCGCGCGCGAAGCCCGTTTGGTAGCATGTTGTGTGAAAATCTTGTAAGATGTCGCAAGAGCTCGCGCGGAAGCTTTTTTAGCAAATCCATTTTGCGAAACCCTGTGTTCCTGTATGTTTTTTGGAAACTCGATTGCGAAATCCTTCCGGCACCGCAGGTTTTGAAGGATTTCGGCTTGCGCCCGCGACGACGCGCGCGTGTGCACGTCGTCCCATTTGTTGCAAGGGATTCGCGAAAAAGTGCTATGTTAGAACAAAAAATGTCACCGCATACTAGAGATTATTCTGGGGGGGGGGGGGTCGAGTTTATTATTTTTTCTGGAAAGGATAATCAATTTCTACTCGCAGTGAGTTGTCCATTCCACTGCTCGCGCAAACATCCCACCCACCCACCCGCAACTTGGTTTGCAAAATCTTTTAAAACCGTGACGGTGGGTACCAAATTTCACTTGGCAACAACAGCGACGCCGACGACGACAGCGACGACGACGACGACAACGACTACGACGACACCGACGACGTCTCCAACGACTACGACGACGCCGACAACGACGACGACGACGACGACACCGACGACGACGACGACGCCGACGCCGACGACGACGACGACGACGATGACATCGACGACGACGATGACGACGCCGACGACGACGACGACACCGACGACGACGACGACGACGTCAACGACGCGACGACGACGACGACGACGACGACGACGACACGACGCCGACGACGACGACGAAGACGACGACGACGTCGCCAACGAAGACGACGAGGGAGGAGGAAGGACGACGACGACAACGACGACAACGACGACAACGACGAGGGAGGAAGGAGGACGGCGACGACGCGAACGACGACGAAGGAGAAAGGACGGCGACGCCGACGACGGCAACGACGAGGGAGGAGGGAAGACGACGACGACGACAACGACGACGACGACGACGGCGACGAAACAGGAGGGACGACGACGAGACGCCGACGACGGACGACGACGACGACGAGGGAGGAGGAGGAAGGACGACCACGGCGACATGTGAAGAGTAGTGCAGTATATGAGCATATGTTGGCCCAGAAGAGAGGGGTCAGCGCAGACACCGTGACAGCGTATATCTGAAGCCCCTTTTGGCCCAGGGAGAGACAAAACATTTAGATGGTAGCGGAGCCGTGAGGCTCCACGCGACCTTTCCTAGTGGGCCCACGGCGCATTTCCCTCAGATTCAATGGAGCAGTTGATCCAGCAGCTGCAGGATCAGGTGGCGACGTTGCAGCAGCGTCAGCAGCCCATGGAAGAGATGGTCCAACAGCTGCAGCGCCAGCGACAGGAGATCGATCGACTTCAGGCCGCAGAACGAGAGGCGCTGCAGCAGCAACAACAGCAGGATGTACGTATGGACGAGCTGAGAGCCGTGGCCAGGGGCAGCATGAAGACTGTCATTGACACGAAGAGTCTTGGCAAGCCGAAGGACTTCGATAACAAAGAAGAGCACTGGCAGGAGTTCGCTTTCAAGTATGAGAACTGGATCAGCGGCATCGAGCCGCAGGCGCGACTGTACCTCCGGTGGGCCGAGCTGAGTGGCGAGGGGATCGATGACCTCGACCTAGACGACCCACCGGACGCGCTCAGCCAGGACGAGATCAGGCACCTCGGGAGGCAGGTATACGTGTCCCTGGCGCAGATGCTCACGGGTGAGTCGCTGGACGTCTTGAGGAATGGCCGTGAAGATAATGGTCTTGATGCGTGGCGTCGGCTATGGAGGAGATGGGATCCGAAGAC